CTGTGATGCCTTCTGTTCTCTAGCAACTGCAGAAAATCATGTGATTTGTGTTATCTATTGTTTTTGTCACCTCAGCCAGACTTCATATGTTCCAAGAATAGGGATTAAGATGAATTTGGGTTCTATATCATATTTGGCACATGACTGGCTGGGCTTATGAAATCTATTCAGCATATAGTTGCCTGATGAACAGAGATGTTGCATTATCATAATAAAAATAAGCAGCCAGAGCAACCCTTACAGGAGAGTTATTTTTGAGGGAGAAGGGTGCAAAGCAGCTTGCATGCTACTGGGAGTGTCAAAGGCCCAAGAAAGGGAGCGAACTTGTACACAATATGAGATAGAACATGTGTTCAAGTACCAGCAGAATAATATGTTGGGATCATTGACTTGAACACAGTCCCAGGGGGAAGTGATGATAAGAGAGAGATTCACTTAGAGTTTGGTAAAGCAGAGGGCTTTAGCTAAGTGGTTCCTGGATAATAGGGAAGCCAAAATATTTGTAGAAGTGTTTACCTAAAGCTTATTGAGTACTTGCTAGAATAAGCAAATGTAGAACTTGTCAAGACTTCTAACTTGGACAGGCAGAAAATATTTCTCTAGCATCTCTATGAATTAGAAATTTATATCCGCAGGGCAAAGATAACTATAAATGGATACTACTCAGTGTGGTCTGAGACTTAGCTATATATATTCCCATTTTGCCCTCTGTTATCTCCAAACACACACACACGGCCTGGAAATGTAGACTTTCCTTTGTACACCAACGTTAGCATGCAAAAATTCCTGGGGGTGTAAAAATAAGGCATTGCCCATTATTCACTACTCACATCTTCAGGAAGTTGGTTCTTATGGATTTGGCTAAAGCTAGGCTTGGAGAGGCCCAGAAATCAAAGCAAGGCAGTGGCAGTGAGGGGTATGCAGAAGTGTTATTCTGGGCAGTCCTATTTTGAGGACTAAAGAGAACCATAGGATGGGATTAGATCTCCACGCCTTGAAAGCTGGAAAAAACTTAGAATTTATATGATCAGGGAATTACTTGCTGAAAATGGTGATTTTTGTAAGATTGCTCTTGAGCACCTTGAGCCTGGCACATAGTAGGTACTGAATAAATACTTGTTAAATGAATTAGAAGGAGAAAGGATTGACAGTAGGAAGGGGGTTGCAGAATCCAGATAAAGGAAAAGAACTCTCCTAATCACTGATACTTCATCTGTCAAAAATCACCATACCACAGGGTGACAGGAATTATTGGGCAGCTGCCATGTGTTACTATAGTTTTCTATGAAAATTTCTGTAGAATTTAATGTTCTGGGAAATGACTTAATTCCTCTATCGTAATGAGAAACTTTAGGGAAGCACTGTTTTGTCTTTAAATCTCACTTAAACTTGGCATGGTACTATATCCTCATCAGCATCCACTGAATGAATACAATGTGAGCTCTCACAACCTCAGTGAATAATTGAGAAAGTTTACTTGTGATGATGTTTCAGGAGCTGATGAGCTGGACAATTGGATAAGAGGGTAGCTGTGAGCTGGTGATTTTAATCCTTGTCGTGTAGACTGTTTCTAGTGACTGCAGTGTCTCTCTTTAAGATGTCAGTTTGGTTAACATTTCAGCACCTGCTATATTCTGGCAGTGACTGGTTTTGAGAATTTAAATCCTGAAAAATACCAACAGGAGACACCACAGGAAGATGACTGTTGCAGAAAGGATTTAGTAATCCTAAATTGTTTGAGTGTTGTTAGGATTCTTGATTTTGAGTTACTTGGTGGAAAGGGGCACAGCAGTCGGTAATAGGATGCTGACTCAGGAGAGGCAGGAGTTAAATAGCATTCTGTGCCCCATTTAATAAAGTGTGTTAGAGCCAGTGCCACAAATTTGATTTGAACAATTTCTATTTTTCCCAGTAAAGATGTTATTACAGGTCAATCATTTCCATAAGTGAGAGCACATTTCTGGTGTATACTACACTGACAGATGGCTAGAAGACCTTCTCTTTCATGATCCCAGGCAGGATAAAAAGGCAATTTACTATCTATAGGACTGTGGGTACACTGGTAATGGAAGAGAATCATTCTTATACAAATAACTCTGTGTTTGAATCTGAACTATCAAATGAATCTGAGCTATAGCCAAATCAATTTGATAAACCATCAGAATATGATTGTACTGGCTCCAGCCTGCAAAGGCAATGCATTAAATTTTCCCCACAGGAAACTATTTCCCAAGGAAACAGCAATTGCTCGATTGCTTAAAAAAAAAAAAAAAAAAAGCAAACTTGAGTGAGTTCAGAAGAATTTCAGGTGAAACTGAGATGGCTGCTGATGTTCAAGGTCAAGGCTCATGAGGGCGAAATCAGGATGCTGGGCTACTCCTGGGAAATTTGACAGAGCTTGTCTGTGTGCCCCTGGCTTCCTCCAAGACTATGTGTTCTTGCAATGGCACATCTTGCCCTCGCAGCCTTGGGGATACAGAGGCTCCCTGCTTTTCACACAACTAAAAATTTTGCCTTCAGGAAAGGAGTTATCATTGGTTTGGGTGTCTTCTCAAGTCCCTTGGAGTCCCTTGCATGTATCTACTGGGGACAAAGAACTGAGGCTGTCAGAGGAGAAGATTCATCAGTTAGTTCATAGAGGAGATATTTTAGAGTCATGGTGAAGCTTCCCAGTTGCCAGCATGGTTCTAGGACTGTTCTCAGTGTGGTTTCTGTACCACAACATCAGCTTCATTGGGGAATTGTTAGAGCTCTCAGGCCCACCCTGACATACTCCAAACCGGGAGTTAGGATCAACTATCTAGGATTTTACAAGCATAGTAGGTGCTTTTGATGCATCATCAATTTTAGCATCACTGCTGAAGGGCAGTTGTGAAGCACACACAGTTGAGGTCATTCATAGCTGAGTTCTGCTCTGGGAACTGACCTTCGCTCACTCACCCAGGAATAGGCTCCTCCCCAGGGACAGCCTCCACCCAGTGACTGCTGATGAAGAGGCATGGCCCCTTCGCTTCATTCAATACAACATTGAAGGATTATCTTAACTATATAGCTCCGCATGGGAACAACTGAGGTTTACCACTAACCCTGATTCTACTTCCATCACGCATCCTTCACAAACTCCAAGAGCACTCTCTAGAAAACCACCTGCATGCAGATACCCAAATCATAGTCTTACTTTGGTGGTGGGGGAGGCTCTGATCCAAGGTGCAATCACACCCCTACCCTGAGCAGCATCGACTGCTGACTGAGCAGTCTGTGTACCCTCCAGCTCTTACCCATTAACCCAGAGCTCCCAGGTGGGCTGGTCCTCTGCACATACCTAAACAAGTAGCTCTTCAGATCAGGGTTTAGCTGGGTTTTGCTGCATCAGGTTGCAGAAGTGGGGTTGGGAAAGGACATAGAATCAAAGGTCAGCAAACAGGGGCTGGAAGGACACCCATGGACTAAACTGAAACCCTCAAAAGGGAGCCTTGATGTTAAGGTGATCAATCCCATTGGCCCTTAAGGGAGGACAAAGAGACTAGTAATTATAGATCGGGCTTTTGGCTAGGATCTTGCACATATATCCTCAATGCACTGAGAGCAAAACATGAAGAAATGTATTATCACTTTCTCTCCTTCTAAGCCATAGCAAGTATTTCATAATTCCTTCAGATTTTCTGTAAATTTTGTTCACTTTATTCTGGCCTGATATGATCCTGTGGCAAAAAGAGTGAAAATGGGCCTGCCACTCGAGGACCCTACAGAACGGCTCGTGATGGTGACATCTCTCTGACACAGCTTTCCTGGCAGGGCTGGCGAGGAGATCCATGTTTGTGACCCCATGACACTCTGCGACATGCAGTGCCTTGGCCTGGGACTTCCTTACACAACTGCAGGAGATGTTCTATGCTCTATTTTGGTTAACAGTCAATTGCAGGGATCTATTCAATAACTTTCAGATGTTTGATTAGACATTTCACTATGTTGAGTATGATAATATGATGGCACCACAGGAGACTTAGATTCTGGTCTAGCTCTGAGCTTACGAGGGGTGAGCTTCAGCAGGTCACTTACTATTTCTGGTGCTGCTTTTGTCAGCTGGATGAGCTAGTTGGGGATCCTGTCCAATTTGAACATTCTTGGTAGCAGACAGTGGCAAAGGTACCTATTATTGATGATGAAGGTTATGTTGTTAATGCTTAATTGATTAATAACCAATGAATAGGGCAGCTGGTACAGGTCACATATGGAAACCTACACCATCACAGATAGATCCTGTCATAACAGATGGTGGTACCTAATCAGGAACATTTAAAACCCTTAGGGCTTTTAGCTAAGTGAAATAGACAAATGGCTGTCCTGGTAGTTAAAAAACATCCAAAGCACTTTCTTGAAGTCCATTTGTGGAACATTAACTCAATATTAAAAGTTCCAAGTTCTTGTGTATTTGAGCACATGGCAGGACGCCCAGCTCTCTTCATGGTGATGCTATGTCCTTCCTGGTGCTTCGCAGCACACTCTCTCACCTGATATATGTTGAACTGACTCCACCTTACAAAAATACAAACTTTCTTTTGTTCCCTGTACTATATTAGCATGTAGCACAATGGTGGTGCTTCTATTTAATGAGTAACTATACAAAAATAAGTATATGTTAACATATATATGTTAACATATATAAAATATATACGTATATACACTTATACACCTATATGATAATGTTAAGCCCCAAACAATATTATAAAATAGGTATTTAAGTTTTTGCCATATTTTAGGTGAGGAGATTGAGGCTTAGTAGGAGAAGAACTGTAACTATTTATTAAAAGTTAGTGATTATTGTTGTTACTTTATTGAAAATCAAAATGTGGCTCAGCCCTATATTACCCCTATGTCTTTGTGGATGACACATAAGAATCGAGCAGCATTGCCAGCCCAAAGTTTCTCAGAATTGGTGAAGGTTGATTCAATTTATTCACACTGAGCTCTTGCACATGACAATAAGGGAAGCTACTCACAGAATGACTGGTCCAGAGGCTCCCTGGAAAACATCATTAGGCAGTTCTTCCAAATGATTGTTATCACTTAGATTCCTGGGGATGGAGTTGTGGAAGGAAGGGAAACAAAAAGCCACATAAACATTGCTGGTCCAAGAGCTGTTTCCCTCTAAATGGCCTGGAAGAATGGTCAGGGCTACTTACAGCTCATCTAGCTGGGTTCCATTGAATGCACAGTTGTGTATTTCTTGAATCCCGTTTTTATTCAGCCATCTGAAATAAAAGGCCCATTAAAAAACCAATAATGTCAGATGCAAACAATACAGGGGTTTCATAATTGGAAGCACTGGGGCAGAGTCAGATAGCACAAGTTAGTGGCATAAATAAAATGCCACCCTGAAGGCTCTGGGACAGGCGTGGGAGGGAGATTGATTTATCACTGCGTAACCTTTTGTACCTTTTGGGGTTTGCAGGTTTGCAGCATGTGTTACCTATTCAGAAAAATTAATGCAGTTTAATTTTGAAAAATACTTAGGCATAGCTTTGGGTCCCGTCAGGTCTTTGCACACAGCATTTGTGTGCAGGGACCATACCACTGCAGGGAGCAGTTGAAGATTTTTCCCATCCTGAAGGACAGAAGTCATACAATTATTGAATAAGTGTTTCTAAGAGAGACCATTTGGCATCACCTGTTCGAAGGCGTTAGGCCTCTCACCCACACTCACCCACAGCAGTAGGCCTGGCTGTCATCAAAAAGTGATTGAATTAAGCTGTCAGACCACCTGAACATCTCCTGTGACCTATATGGAACTGGTTACTGGAGGTTTGTGAGGGTGGCTCTGGGTTAAGCTAGCAAGGAGGAGAAATCAATTACAGAGACTGTGGGCCGTGGCAGGGAAGGTAGTGGGGACAGCATGGGAGTGTACTCTGGGGGCAGTGGGCCTTGACATGAAACAGTCATCCTGACTGTGCAGAGAAAGCCAGTGAGCGGGGCTGCCTGAACCCAGGAAACCAAGGACACCCTGGGCTGACAGCTCTGCACGACTGTGTTATTGGATAGATCTGAAAACAGAAATAGAAATCCAAGGTCGGGAGAGCTTAGCCCAAAGAGCTGCTGACCACCTGCTCTGATTTGCTGTCAGGTTTCTGACCTGTCAGGCTTGTAGGTTCACAAGTAACACTATTCAAAATGCTGACCTAGAGGAACTCCTGTGTGCTCAGGACTCTTTCCCCTGTTGCAGTGGGTAGCTAGAAAATGCTTACAATCACAGGATGTGACTGTAATGTTCTTTTTGTTCTTCTTCTGGAAAGCCAGTTAGTTAAAAATCCATAAAGAGCTAGGTAAACCTTTTAAAACATTAGCAGCCAACTGGTGGCTTCTGATGGCCAAGAAGTAGCTCTGTGCTCCGTGTCCCTCAGTCTGACATTTGCCGTTGAATAAGCCCCTCCCAGGAACATGCAGCCTCCTGGTTTCCTTGTCAACTTGTACCTGATAGTGAAGTTTCTCAAGAGCTGCCCCTAACCTGTGAGATGTGCCTCTCTGGGAGAATAGGGATCAAAAACAGAAGGCAGCAAACTTTTCCTAAATGGCCAAGTAGTAAAATTTAGGTATTGTGGGCAGAGGTAAAACTGATGATACCACATAGGTACTTAGAACACAATTGCACAAACTTGTTAGTGGCCAAATTAAAAATCTAACAATTGAGAATTTAAGTAATATTGGTCTACTGTTTAAAACAACTTAACTCCTTTTCTTTATTGGAGGAAGGGTTAGCATTTTACTTAAGTACTTAAATAGGTTCAATATTTGTGTCCCGAAACAAAATAATCATTTGAAAAAAGTGGTCCTTTCTTATCAGGCAAATTTGGCCTAGGGGGAGTAGTTGGCTGATCCTTAATACAACTGGTATACAAATACATGCCTATTTTTCTGTAGGCTAGACAATTAATATTTTCGTGTTTTTTTTTTTTTTTTTTTAAAGATTTATTTATTTATTTATACAAGCACTGGGTACAGTCAGAAACACGGGAGGGTGAGAGAATTCACCAGAGCTGGGAGCAGAACAGGCAGACAGATGGAGGACACTGCTGAGGGGAGCAGTGGGCGTGGCAGGAGAGGTCTGTCATGCCATGTGGGACCCTCGCCTGGAGGCCTGGAATCAAATCGATGCTGCAGAGGCTGCGGGCAGCTTCGCAGCTCAGCGCTCAACCGCTGTGCCACCGGGGAGGCCCAGATAATTAATATTTTCTATACATAGATGTTAACCATGATTAAATAAAATTTAGGCTAATTTAAAATAATTGCTGTTTTCAAAGTAATGCTTTCTCTTTATAATTTTCTTAATTAACAGATACCATCATATGGGGAAGGGACTCCAGCTTTTGATGTTGACAATAGATCATTACATAAAAAGCTGTCCAGAACTCCTGTCCTGGGATTTATATCAGCGGAAGGGTCTCTTAAACTAACAAAGAGTACTTAAAATTATTAAGTACACTCATACTTTCTTTTTCTTTTCTTTTTTTTTTTTTGTGGGACCCTCGCCTAGTGGCCGGGGATCAAACTGATGCTGCAGAGGCTGCGGGCAGCCTCACAACCCAGCGCTCAACCACTGTGCCACCAGGGGAGGCCCCACTCCTACTTTCTTAAGAGGAGTGCCAAATTGCTGGGCTGTTTATATATATACTTAGATTTATAGTATATTTTTTAGATATATTGATATATATATATATCTCAATTTATTTAAGGCCTCAAGGACTTGACAAATGCCAATACACAAGAAAGCTTTTTCAGTCATCAGTGCCACTTCTTTTCCTGAGTGCACCTGGACATCCCCAGTGGGAGAAAGTGTCCTGCATCCAGACACGGCGCACACACTAGGAAACTTGGAATAATTGGAGACTTAAGCTGTGTTGAGTATGGATCTTCTGATTCTATTATCTATGGATTAAGCGCCCATCTGATGCAAGAAAAACAGATGTTGTTCTCAGAAATGTGAATTTATCCTTTAGAAACATGTCTGAGGAATGTTGACTCTTAAGGAAGCTCCTCTTTAGGAGAGGATGTTCACGGACCACATGGGGTCCGTGAACAAAAGAGTTGGTGAAGAACAGCTATGATCTGTACATCTGCCTCGTAGGTTTGAGTTGGCAAGGCTTTGTCGTGAGTTCTTTGCCAAATTCTTTCATCCACTTGTGGAGAGTTTAGACCAGAGAGGAGTCAGGTGCCTTGCCTTCTGTCTGGACAAAACAGGTGTGTGTCAGCATGCAAAACTGGGTATATTAGCACATTCCTACTTAATTGTATATTTTTTATAAAAATGTTCTGTTAATTTTGCCAGAGGACACATATTTGTAGAGTAAGATTGAAAGCCCCCAAATCCCTGTACAAGCGACCATATCTAGCATTAATGCCCTCCCTCTGTCACATAGTCCAGGAGTCCTTTTACTGTTATGCTTGTGTTACAGCCTACAGTCTGAGGCTGGGATCACCCAGGTGCTCACCATTTCCCAAAAGCTTCTTTTATTTTATTTTTAATCCTCTTAAATTTTGATTATTCTATTTCCTCTGCTTGCCCTTTGCCAAGGCTCTGGTTAAATCCTGCTCATCTTTAAAGTCCATCTTGGACACACTGCCCTTCTCCCTCTGTCCCTTAACTCTTCCTTCAATTCTTACATTGTAGGCTAGTGAGAATAAGTCATTTCTCCTTTGTTCTCAGAAGAGTTGCTTTCATTTTGCATCATTCATTCTACTTATATTTTAATTCATTTCTTTTACTTTTCCATTCTCTCCTACCCCCATACCTCCATCAACTCATTCCAAAACACACACACACACACACTCTCTCTCTCTCTCTCTCTCTCTCTCTCTCTCCAAATATGAGCATATTAAGTGAAAGAATTAGGTATTACCTATGAGTTTTTTTTTTTAAAGATTTATTTATTTATACAAGAACTGGGGTATAGGCCAAATGTGCAGGAGGGTGAGAGGATTCACCAGAGACAGAGCAGGGAACAGAACAGGCAGACTGATGAAATATGCTGCTTGAGGTGAGCAGCGGGCGAGACAGGAGAGGTCTGCTGCGCCATGTGAGACCCTCACCAACCAGCCGGGATTGAACCGATACTGCAGAGGCTGCAGACAACTTCACAGCGTGGCGCTCAACTGCCTGCACCACCAGGCGAGGCCCATACCTATGAGTTTTATCCTACTACTGTGTCCTCTGAATACATGCCTTTGATTCGATTTTTCCCTTTGCATATCCAATTTCTTTACTACTAGTCTCTTTCAAACCATCTCCACGGTTCCTTGTAATTATTTTACATCAAATACCATGCTGCGCTTTATTTTCACTATGTTCTCATCTGTCTATTATTCCTCTCCTCTCTCTTTTATTTTTGCTACAGCTTGGCCTCTGAATCATATTAATTTTTGGAAAGGACTAAACTTTTTACACATTGGCATATTAAAACACACATGTATTTCTAAAACCACAATAACTTGTGAAATAGAGAAAATACTTTCCTGACAGATTATAAGTTCCCCGAATATAATTCTATACACCTAACTTCTATGGACCCCACTTGGGTAGTTCCCAGTGTCCCGTTTCTTGACCATCCTGGGAAGTGGGCTAAACTGCCCTAAAAAATTAGAAGGTAGTTCATTGGCAATGCAGAGTGCATTTAAAAAACTTTCCCAAAAGTCAGAGGGAGTAACTCAAGCTCATTAAAAAACACGAGTGTGCCAAGAAAATGAGAAGTCATCTCGTGCTCAGCATGGCACTGAGCAGGAGCTGCCTGCATGGTTCGGAGGGGATAGCTATGTCTTCCCGATTCAGCCTTCTTCTTTGTCTTTTTCTTTGGGCAACAAAAGCTTTGCCAGGCAATAACTAGCTTTACTGATGCATGAGTTATTCTGTCCTTCGGAACAGATGTTGCATCACAGGAGACCATCATTCAAAGAGCAATTTTAAATACTTGAAATGCACCACGGAATCATAAATTATTAACATGACTCCATGTTGAGATTCTGAAATGTAAAGATGGGAAATGAGAGGAAAAACACAGAACCAGAGAGAAATTTAAATGGTGAAGTGCCAAAGTAACCCAAACAAACGACTATCCCATCATGAGAAAGAGCTTGTTAAATGAAAAACTGAATGTTACTCCATTGCATTTTCTTTCTTTACTTACAGAATCATACTTTCAAAACTCAGTCCCACAAAAGAATTTCCTTCAACTGTGTGGATGTTTATGTTATCTTGAATATCTCTAAAAGAAAGTGCAGACAAATTAGATATTTATATCGGCTCCACTCACGTAACTCTCCCACATTTAGTTTATTTGCTTTGATGGAGTCTTTAGCTGTGACGCTTGAATAGTTATTTTTCTGAAGGATAACGACTTCCAAGTTTGGGAGAAGAATGGCATCTAATTTATATTTTGCATATCAGCTCTTAAAAATGGAAGTATAGACATTCAGCCTGCTCTCCCAAAAAGTCTTGCTAGCTAATTTCACTGTCAGGATTCTCTCTACTGTGTTCATTATTATTCTTGCTCCACGCTGGTGTCTACTCTTATAAACAGGACACTTGAGATGAACTTTCACCTCCACCACAAACTTCTCTATCCTCTCAGCTGTAGCTTCATCTTCCTCTCATCTCAATCCCTTTTTCATAGTTCATTTTCTTCCTCTGGTTCTGAGTCCCGCCCCCCCCCCGCCACAAATTTCATCATTGATTTATCTCTTTCCTGAATGAAAGGATAGAGAAATTCTTATTTCTCTGTCTGTGTCCCTCATCCTTCTATCAAGCTTCTCTTGTATTTGCTATACTACATAAATGTAGAAGAGGTAACTGGTTGGAGCAATTTGAGAAATTCTGGAGAGTCTTTATTTTTCTTTCGCTCCCATGGTTCCTCCTCCTTGAACTTCTCATACTTCTCCTCAACCTCTTCCTTTCAGGTCTGGTCACATTCTTACAATCTCACTATTGAAAATAAACTGGCCATTATATATCCATTGCTGTTTTTCCTCCTTTTTCAAAATACACCTTGGAGAAAGGCAAACACATCATGTCAGTAATACTTTAGAGCAAATTTGTTTTCAGGTGGCTTCTTCATGCCTAGGGCAGTATGGGAATCTTAGAGGGGGAGAGGATAGAGTCGTATAGGTCAGGGGGAGTTATGGGAGAAGGTAAATAAGGCATTAAATAATGAAGAAATGAGAGGCTTCTTGATTTGCTACAAACTGGCTCTTTTGACAACGGTTGTACTGAGCTGAGCAGTCTGCTGACTTCCTCCAAATTGAGGTTAGTTGGCCTTCAGGTAAAACCAAGGGCACTTGCTGTTTTCCCTCCTACATCTGCTCACCCAGAGCAACACATTTGGACAATGTGGACCAAACAATGCACATTACAGCCCCAGAGGCTATAGACAGCTATTGAGTAAAGATTTGGCAACTGCTCAAGGAAAGACTTACAGTAGAACCTTCTGGAGAGATTGAATCTTGTGAACAGCTGGCAAGTGCTTAATGCCTGTGTTGGATATTAACCTAGAGAGAAAGACAAAACAAAAGCGAGGAAAAAATGAAGCTGGCTATTTTAACAATTGTAGCATTTAAGCTTTCCAAATTCAAAATATTAATTTAAGCTATCAGTAAAATTTATCAGAAAATCCCCCAATGTAACCTGAATCATGTTTATGTTTTCTATTTTAAGGCTCTAAGCAGGGTCTAATAAATAATTGCTTTATACATGGGCTAGTATACTACCATGCACACTTTTTTATGTTTGATCAATTAACATCCAAAAGCAACTTGCAACTAGAATATCTCCTGTTTCTAACCTCTCTCTACTCCTTGGAGAACTTCCCTCTTCCTAATCCAAGGGAAGAGGGAAGAATCGTGTTGGAATTAGAGCCTGATTCCATGCCCTTTGACCCAAGAATGCATATGGGATCTAAGCTGAGTTAATCAGACTCTCCCTTGAGAAGAGGTTGGAGGTTGTTTAGAACTGAATCCACTGATGCCATGACCCTTAAGAGATGGTCCATAAATTTATATAGCTGAAATCTCCAGAACTATGTTGAGTCTTTCTGATGTTGGATTCCCCAGGATGCAGAGCCAAAAATGAAGGTTGATCTACAGGTAGTATACTCAATAATTTGAGTTCAGAGAGCTTGGGATGGAGAAAATGAAATAGGGAAGAAGAAAAACTAATAAATACAAGGAGTTACTGAATTAGCCACCACTACTGGTGGCTGGTCCTTAATGTCAAGGGCTTGATTTAGGGGATTTTCAAATATGGATCCCAGAACTGTTGATCTAAATGGAGGAGCATTTATCTGTAAGCTATTGTTTTTTATTGGTCAAATGTGTCCCCTCCTTGATGCTAACTTTCCACTTCTGGCTGGTACATTTGTAAGTGCCGAGGGAGTGTCTGCTGAGCACTTCTTCCAATGGTGTAGAAAACACCCCACAGAAGGCAGTAAGAGCTGTATAAGACCAGGCTAGGTGCATCCCAGTTGCACTTGAATTCAGCTGGTTGAAATTTGGGTGGAATTGGATGCCACAACAGTGGTGAAGAAGATTTTCAAGTGGCAGATGAGAGTTCTTTTCATTTCTCCAGCATTTCTGTCACTCCTATGAGTTACTCAGAATCCATCCACTATCTTCACAGTTTCCTTCACTTTCTGTGCGTTGCTTACCTAAGCCAGACTTGATCTTGGTTGCTTGCAGTCTAAAGAAACTTCACTGGTATGCTTAACATTGGGAAGGACTGTAAACCATTTTTGGGTATATGATTCTCTAGTGGACTTTGGTGGCTTTTTTCTCTGCCTCAATATTCAGAGAGCAAGAGGATTCTACCTGTTTCCATTTGTTTTCCAATGATCCATATAAAACCTATCTTGGTCAACTCTTCTTTTGATTACTTCAAAAGACCCCGTGATGGTCTTAGTTTTTTGTTACTGTATTTTTTTTAGGATTTATTGAGTTGTTAAATGGTTTACATACAGAAATAGGGCCTTTTTGGTGTAGAAAACTAATTTAAAACAAGTACATACAACTGTGTAATCACAGTACAATCAAGATAGAGAATATTTCCATCATCCTTCAAATTAGTTTCCCATTTATTGTTAGTATTTCCTTCTACCTCCTATTACTAGCAGTAACTGATCAATTTCTGTTCCTATAATTTTGCCTTTTTGAAAATATCATCTTTGCAATTAGGTAGTATACAACTTTTTGAATCTGGATTCTTTCACACATATAGTGTATTTGAAATTGTTCCATGTTGTTATCCGTATTACTAATTTTGTTGTTTTTATTGCCTAGTAGTATTCCATGACATGAACGTCCACAGTATTTTTATTCATCACCATTTGAGTGACTTTTCCCCCAGTTTTAGAGATTATAAAAAAAAGCTACTTTAAACACTTATAGTGTGGGCATGTGTGTGTGTCTGTTTTTATTTTTCTTGGGTAAATACCTATGAGTGGGATTGTTAGAAGGTATACTTAGCGTGTGTTCAACTTTGTCAGAAACTGCCAATAATTTTTCTAAAGTGGTTGTTCTATTTTGCATTACCACCAGCAAGAGAATTCTAGTTATGGTACTTTCTTTAGTATTTTAAAAAAATTCTTTGAATATAAAAGTAATACAAATTTATTGTTGGACTTAAGAAAAAAAATGGAAACATGCACAGAAGAAAGTAAAAATAACCTCGTCTCAGTATGGAGAGATAGCTTCTGTTAACACGTGGAGTTTGACATATCTACTGAAACAAATAAGTTTCATGTTTGCTCTCCATACCACTAGGATTCTATTCATTCCTAAGAAAACATTGCCATCCATTAGCTTGACACAGTTCTATCCATATTTGTTATTTAATCATATCCAGCCTTCTATTTTTAGATTTCTTCCCATGTGTTTATGCAGCATTCCCTTAATGAGACATCAGAGCAGGTCCATACTTAATATTGTCTGACAATCTATACTAGTCAGTGCAGATTCAGAATGCAATATGTGCTCATAAAATATTGAGTTAATTGGTTAATGCTTCAAAAACGTTTCTTGCTTCTGTCACCAAGATGTATCAAAACTGTTCATTAATTTAGTTGCCAGGTATTACTGCTACTTGGAACAATCTTAAACCGGGGCAGAGGGGTCTGCAGGTGAGGAAGTAGGAGAGGTTTCTATACACCAACTTTGGTGTGAATTATACGCAAATTATCTCTTGTCTGAAAAGGATGTGGTAGGGAGTATGTGAATAGCCAGGTAGACACTGTATCAAACACTTCTGTGCACTGCTTTACATACATCCCCCTTGTTCATTTTTTTCCTCTAGCTTTTACTACCGCAACAAACTGCATAGAGAGTTGACTTGGTAGATACTGGACTCAGCTGCACACATTACCTCTCAGACTCTGTCCTAGGCTTCTTTGCTACTTCTGAGTGAGGCACTAACAGGAATCAGCTCAAGCTTTCTAAGGCATGTGCAAATCAGGAAGCACAAGGGAGTTAACACTCATTAAGGAAACTTTTACTAAAGGTAGACCCCATTCTATTCACTGGGGGAACATTCTGGATATGTTCTAGATGACACCTTAGAAGGGCCCTCGTATCAATATGTTGAACCCCTGCCTGGTAGTGAATACAATTTCGAGTTGGCATTCCCTGTTTTCTTCTCAGTTATTTGATGCTTTTTCTTGGTTTTGGAAGCAAAAATAAACTGGTTGTTTCTAAGTCCTTACTTAGACTTTTTTTTTTTTTTTTTTTTGAGCGCCTAAGCTAACCTAGATACCAGCTTGGCCTGAATTTCACATTTTGCAGATTTGATGATGGTTGGTATTTCTGCTTAGACCACACTTAATCTCCAGTTACAACCCAGTTCTCTTCCTCTGCCACTTTTTACAGTGAAGTTTCTAGAAAGAGCTATCTATGTATGCAGTCATATTTTCTAATAGCCCTTTGACTTCAAATTGTTCCAATCTGTTTTCATTCCCCATCACTCTATTGTAACTATTTTTGTCATGCTCCAAATCTACCAGCCTACTGACTACCAAATCTAATGAACATTTAAATTATCATTAATTAGATCTTTTAGTAATATTTATTACTCATTATCTCTTCTATTGGTTCTTGTTATCTTGTACTGTTATTTCCCCTCTTCCTTGGCTAGACCTTTTTATTTTTAATTTTTTTATTTTATTTAATTTTTTTACCTTTGTTGACGTCCACATCCTTTATACACTGAGATGTCTCTCTTTTTTTTTTTTTTTTTTTGTAAGTCTTGCTGGAAAGATCTTATTTACCCTAGCTTTAAGTACTATCAGTATGACTACAACTCAGATTCATATTTGACTTCTGATAAAGTCTATTTCTAATTAAAGTTCACTTCAGATAATCCTTCTGAATGCCTCACTGACATAGCAAATTAAACATATTCCCTCTGTTACCATTTCCACCAATCCGGTCTTCCTCAGTTCTTCCCCATAAATGGCACTGCCACCTAGCAATTGTTTTTTAGAAATATAAGTTAGACTTAACTTCTTTACCCTCATTCCTCAATATCTAATCTATCTCAAAATCCTCTTTGATTCTGTTTCCAAAATACTTGATTCTATGCAACTTCTTCCATCACCACTGACACCACTCTAGAATAGGTAACCGTTACCTTCTGGATTTCTACAGATCTCCTGCTTCCACACACTTAATTTTGACATTTTCTAATCATTCAATATTCAGTACACAGAGCACTCTTTAAAAATATATATCATGTTGTTTAATTTCCTCTTTAGTTCTTCCCAAGAGAACTCAATAAAATTTATCCTCCCTTTTGCCTACCTTTGCACCCTTATCTTATGTCATTCTCCTAATCTCTTCAGTACTCCTTTCTCTCAATTCCTCAGATATACTAAGTCATTGCCTGTCTCCAGGAATTTGTACATGCTCTATCTGGAAGTCTTACCATCTACTCCTCACCAGTCCAACCTCAACTCCTCCTTCAGGGTACACTTACAAACATCATTTCTTCAGAGAAGAGCTCCCTGAGTTAGACTGCCTATCTAAGGTAGGGTCCCCAACTTACTCTATCCTTTTTAGAACTCATCAAAATTCTGAACCATTTATTATTTTGTTTGTTTTTCAGTCTGTCTCTCTTTAACCAGAGAGTGAATGGTATGAGGGAAGAAATCAAGTTTTCCTGAAAACTTAAGTTGATAGAGTGGTCGGGCATATATAATGCATGTTTATCAAGGTTTAGGCAATGTGCCAAGAGCATTAAAAAATAATACCTGTATTCATCATACCTAACTTACTTGACATTATATGGGTAGCAACTTGGCTATCTCTCCTAGTAAATAAGAATTTCATGCAATTGAAGGAGGGAAGAATATGTGATTATCAATGAGACTGGTGCAAATATATTATTTCATATCATGAGTTGTCAAACTATTTACTAAGGGATATCTACAAATGTCTGTAGGTGTACATTGAAATCTTTGGTCTTTATTGAAAAGAAAACACACAGGAAAAAATGACTAAAATTATTC